ATTCATTAGAGGTTGATTTTATATTTCTTATTATAATCTTACTTCACTCTGACAGTGCGACACTGCAAAAGATTCGTCCCAATACGACTACCAAGGCCAACATCGCGAGGTCGATCGACTATGGACCACCGACTCGGATCGACGGCTCTGAAAAAGGCAAAAACGTCAAAAGAAGCTTTTTGAGAAAGAAAGGTTTGACGAATAAAGGTTTTTTTTACCAACCTGGTATTGGCATATCAATGAAACAATACGCCTTCACTCATAGGTTACGAAGAGGCCATAGGATGCAGGTAAAGCCTAAAACCACGTACGTAGTTCACGAAAGACTTCGTCCATAGTCGAAGCCTAAGGAAAAAACACTCATTACAACTGAACTTCACACATTTTCCATGTGGGCAAGAATTGGAAAATTCCCTAAGCCACTAAAGAAAGAATATTTGCGGAAATACGAAATTCTTCTTAGTAGTAGCTATGAATATGAAATGTGAAGCTGTTCTTTTCCCTCGAGCAGCGAATCTATCATCTGCAAGAAACTTAGCAACAGATTTATGGATAACGTGCTGACGGTGTCTATTAATATTCAATAAACATCAAAGAAAGATGAAGATGTATGGTCTACACGCCAACAACGTTGTCAGAATAGTATATTCACTGTTGCAGTCACCAGCAAATTCGAGAATAACTGAGGCATACAGATGCATTAGATAGCTGAAAACACTTCACTAGTTTAAATCCAAACAAACAAAACCACAACACTCGGTGGGTGATACCAAATTAAACATTATAACTCTTTGTGGACCATCAGTGGAAAGATCGATGCGTTGATATTCGGGCTTTCCAAATCCCGCAAATGGCTATCACTCCTCGAGTATTTGTCAAAGTGTGGTACAATTAAAGTCGGGATTTCGACATAATGCGGTTCCATAACGCATCGACAATTTTCGCGGTCACAGTTTTCCTTACTTCTAAAGGAAAAGAAATAAACATACGAAGATTATTTACAGCACTGCATCAGATTTTAATGGCATGTTTTAGTATAGAAAAACAAATCCAGAACTGAATGGACCAAAGTTCATTAGTTCACTCTCTCATCCACTGTAGATGACAAGCAGGGTCTCCTAAACTGAGAAGTAGTTCTGCGTTTCAATTAGGAAGCCCAGATAAGAGTAAACCAATACTTGGATCTACCACCGATCTGGTATCAAACCAGTCGCATGGTGGCATATTTCTTTGTGATCCACAGGAGCAGGCATTGTGTGTGGTGATAACGACCTGGAAGACACTTTGGCCAGGCTGACCTCGTGACTCCAGGGAAATGCAGCGGCTGAACGAACAGAACTCTAAAAATGGGAGAATATGCTGGGGTCTGCACAACAAGTGAAGACGGATCACCGAATTATTCAAGTAGATATTTCGTTTCAGTATCTTATTACCAAGCAACACCTTCGGTAACTATAAGTAAGAACGCCACATGAGTGTTCAAGTTTCACTATGTTAAGAAAAGAGTTTAGAGTGTTAATCATTAGACTGAATAATAAGCAACTACTAATAAGTAACTAGCAGAAATAAGTACTAGAAAACGATGAATTGATACATACATCGACCTCATCATCAGTTCGCCTGGAGAGCGTCTTTCAGAGCTTGCATCAGCACGATTGTGTTCCAGCGTTTTCATTTTTGCAATAATGTAAAGAGGTCAGTGTTGAAGGATTCCATCACTCCAAAGAAGTGTCGTTAACCATTATCAGAAATTTTTTCATGAGGTCGCGCTGTCGGCAGGAATTCCGATGGCGTGGCCAATCCACCCTTTTATTCTAAACATTCTATTGGTTGAGCTCTGTGATATACTCGAGGTCGCACCAATGCGCCGATTTGAAATTTTACTAAACACAAGAAAAAATGGGAAGATTTCTTTCATACCAGTTTTACGGTTTCACACCATTCGGTAAAGTCTATTTAGAGTCAACAATATCCTACGACCTGTCTCCGTTTGAGCCGGTACGAGGCTGGTATCTTTTCCCCTTGAAATAAAATGGCTAGTGTTTCGCCCATTTCGATTTCCTCAGAGTCTTCACGCACTACAGCTACTTGATGCTTGAATGCATCGCCCTCATTGGTTGTGCGGGCCTCAGCATAATCTCCATTTTTCGGAGATTTGCTGGTTATGCCATTGTAGTTTCCTCTCATTCCAAAACAGCGTGGCGGAAGTCTTCTCCAGGTCTTCACCACCACAACCATTCGCAAGTCGTAGCCCCAGTGGATCAGAGTGGGATTTGCCACCACGCGACTTTGATACCTGGACGCTTGTGGATTCTGGTATTGGTATTGGACGCACTATGCTGTTACATATATTGTTATCCGGTTTATATTTCCTATTTTCCATAAAGATCTACACATAAACCAAACAAAAAAACCTTCTATTAAAAATGTTCTACTGTTTAACGTTTTAAATGAAGTGGTAGTATCAATGTTTTGTTCACGAACTACGAGCAGCGAACCTTACTCAGATTGGAGAATCAATCGATAGGCCGCCATACTAGGTGTGATAGTCAGGTGCTTTTACTTTCTAGTCGTTTTTGGACTTTTGATATCTACACAAGAAGCCTTAAAAGTTCTAAGCAGTAATGGTTTTGTTTCCTGCATCAGGACTATGACAAGCACCTCGAAATCGTCGCCGTTGTGCGTTTGTTCCCGAGAGTCTGCCTAGAGGAGTATTCTGTCCAGTTTCCAACATTCTACCTGGATGTACTCTTTCGCCAAATGAGGTGGTCATATCCGTTTCACCAATGCATTAATCACTACATGTATTACAAGGGATCAGGTGTGTTGTTCTTTCACCACGCATGCATGGCTGTGCATAGTGGCTCAGATGTAATATTTAAAATCGCACGTGGCGGAAACGATTAGTCGGTGAAGCTTGTCACCTAGGAAGGTTGTATAGTTGTCGATATGACATTGCACACTCTAGTAACCAAGAAGGTGATGAGTTTGACCAACTCTATTAGAATGCGGTTTTCCACACAGAATATAGGGTATTTTGTAGCCCACTATCTAAATATTCCTGCCTGAGCTTCTCGCTCCGCGGTTATGTATCCTTCTATGCCCCCGATTTATTGAATTTGATACAGAAGGTAGACAGAAAGACGTGATCTTAGCGGCCAATATGAGATGATGCATGTTGAAGGAAGCAATGAAGATTAATTTTATCAAATTTTCTCTTTTCGTATAGCGTATTTTTCTCTTTTTGCTCAATATTTGTCTCAGAAGCTGGCAACTGTGTACCGTTTTTATCGCAATTCCATTCTTGCTCAGGGATAATGAAAAACAAAGAATTTCTTTACGATAAATGTGTTTTCATTGGAGGAACTAGAAGAAGACACTTCTATTGTTATGCAGAGCACTTCTAGTGGTGAACTTTTGTTGATGACAACAGACGAAATCAAAAAAGCTGTGGTAAGTGAAGAGTTAGCCATTTCTTCTTAATAATATAGAACATTTTACTAAAGCAATTGCCAGCGGAAAGTAGGACTTCGATTTAATTCACGATACCGGATAACCTTTGGGTCAAAGTAGAACTGCCCGACTTAGTAGGAATATTCCACGCATAACTTTGTTGACGTCGAACATCGCAAGAGCTTCATATCGCAACCGATGGATTGAAAGATAGCAAGGTCGACATTATGACTAGGACCACTGGTTGTAGCGAGCATTCTGTGGACATACTCTCGATTTTGAACTTGGAGGTGGAGGGTACCATGACTAATTAAATCATCAAACAGACGCCATAGTAACTGAAATTCAATCCTTAGATGCAACTACTAGAAAGCTTTGCCTGAGAGTACATCAACACCTATTTCGAAATTGTTTCTTTTTTCTTTGAACATGCCGAAGAAAACCGAAACATTGCGCAAACAGTGTGTCTAAACAATCGTCGCTATAATAACCGGGTTTTGGAAGACCAACGAGAATATGCCACTGTACAAGACCACTCGCCTTAGTTCAGTTTTTGTTTTGTCGGCTCCCTCTCCAATGCCGACGTTCATCGCTATGAGCATTTTCACGGCTGTGTTAAGCATAGTGATGCGGGACGCCGCGGCTCCCTCTGCAATGGCTAGGTTTATCAGAAGGCGCATTTGCCGGACAGCGTTATGCCTAAGTATGCGTTTAATCTCAATGATCTCTTGTAAAGCGTGCGGGGACGAATACGTTGGCGAAACGGGTAGACCGCTTTGCGTTCGCATAAAAGAGCACCTAGTCGGTAAATCTAAATTGAAACCAAACACTCCACTAGGCGCGCATAGGATGCAGGAACACAATGGAGAAGATTTTGAAGTAGGAGTCACTATCCTCACGCACGAATCAAAAACATCAGCGCGTAAAACTCCTGAGGGTTTCTGGATCAATCCCAAAAACTCAAAAATAAACCGTAAGGAGGAGTGTATCGTCATCACGCGTGACCTAGAGCCATACCTCAGGCTAATCCAATGACCTGACACAGACACAGTTATCGCCCATGCATCACTCTGTGCGGCTGCTATCCATCAACTAACTTAAATACTTACAACAAAAAACGGTAGGTGTTTAAATGAAGCTGTTTCTTGTGCGAATACAAAATTATTTGTTAAGTTCTATCTGCTACGGTTATAAAAGTGTTTCGCCGTGGCTACCCCTCCAGCGGTGAGGTTCATAAGGATTTCCATTTGCCCTGCTCCGTTGAGCAAAACGGAGGAGGTCGCCGGGGCTACACCTCTATCGAACTCCGACGTTTATTGCAATTCCCCATTTCTGGACTGTATTGAGCAGAGTGATGCCGGACGCCGTGGCTCCCGCCCCAATACCGAAGTTTATTAGGATTCCCATTTGCGTGGCTCCGATGCGCATATTGGAACAGATCGCCGTGGCTACCTCTGCAAGTCCGAGGTTCATTGCGAATCCCATTTGCCGGGCTTCTTTAAGCATAATTGAGCCGGTCACCGTGGCTACCCCTCCTAGTCCGATGTTCATGGCGATTCCAATTTGCCGGGCTGCACTGAGCACAGTGATGCGGGACGCCGCGGATTTCGCCCAAATACCGAGGTCATTACGATTCCTATTTGTCGGGCTTCTTTAAGCATATTTGAGCAGGTCACCGTGGCTACCTGTCCAACTGCGAGGTTTATTACGATTCCCATATGCCGGGCTTCTTTAAGCATAATGGAGCAGGTCACCGTGGCTACCTCTCCAACTGCGAGGTTTATTACGATTCCCATTTGCCGGGCTGCACTGAGCAGAGTGATGCGGGACGCCGCGTATTTCGCCCTAATACCGAGAATTATTAGGATTCTCATTTGTCGGGCTTCTTTAGGCATAATTGAGCAGGTCACCGTGGCTACCTCTCCAACTCCGGGGTTCATCGCGATTCCCGTTTGCCGGGCATCTTTATGCATAGCGGAGCAGGTCACCGTGGCTACCTCTCCAACTCCGGGGTTCATCGCGATTCCCGTTTGCCGGGCAGCTTTAAGCATAGTGGAGCAGGTTACCGTGGCTACCCCTCCTAGTCTGAGCTTTATTGCTATTACCACTTGCCGGGCTGCACTGAGCACAGTGATGCGGGACGCCGCGTATTTCGCCCTAATACCGAGGATTATTGGGATTCTCATTTGTCGGGCTTCTTTAAGCATAGTGGAGCCGGTCACCGTGGCTACCCGTCCAACTCCGGAAATCATTGCGAGTCCCATTTGCCGAGCATCTTTATGCATAGCGGAGCAGGTCACCGTGGCTACCTCTCCAACTCCGGGGTTCATCGCGATTCCCGTTTGCCGGGCAGCTTTAAGCATAGTGGAGCAGGTTACCGTGGCTACCCCTCCTAGTCGGAGCTTTATTGCTATTACCACTTGCCGGGCTGCACTGAGCACAGTGATGCGGGACGCCGCGTATTTCGCCCTAATACCGAAGATTATTGGGATTCTCATTTGTCGGGCTTCTTTAAGCATAATTGAGCCGGTCACCGTGGCTACCTCTCCAACTGCGAGGTTTATTACGATTCACATATGCCGATTTTCTTGAAGCGAAATGGAGCAGTTCACCATGGCCACCCCTTCATGTCTGAGGTTCATCGCGATTCCCGTTTGCCGGGCAGCTTCAAGCATAGTGGAGCAGGTTACCGTGGCTACCCCTCCTAGTCTGAGGTTCATTGCGATTTCCAATTTCCGGGCAGATTTAAGCACACAATAGCCAATACAACTACTCTCCTGCTTTAAGGTATCCTTTTACTGATTGTCTTACGCTTCTTTGGTAATCCTGTTATTAACGCGCAACTTATACTGTTTTTATCTTCTTTTTGTTATTATTATAATATTGGTATAAACGGTTTAATTACCCAAGTTTGAGTTTTACGCTGTGAAGACAACTACCACAAGACCCGCGTGGCGAAGAACGAGCAAATACAATTCGTCCAAGCTAGCAGATCAACACCGTGTGGAGCTGCACTTAAAGGAGCAAGTCAACCGCCAAACTCTCACGTGGAACCCTAGTCGTTGGTTCATTGGGCAATCATTGCCTACAGATCAATTGTAGCACCCTAAAACTACGGTACCTATTTCTTGACTCTCAATTTCACAGCGTCTCAGACGTCAAATGGTAAATACCTATATTGCAGAACCATCAAATAATAAGGATCACAAAACAGATCCACTTTCGAGAGTCAAGCAGAGACAGCAACTAGTCGATAGTCCGTACACTATCTAATGTTTACTACAACCTAATATTCTCACCACTGAACTACTACTACTAAGTAGTAAGCGGCTCAACGGTCACTACCACGCAAGTGCATCCATCGCAACCGCCACTATACTATAATTCTTGGTGCATTGGCACAGCAAAAGTATCCAGGTCAGCTGATTTATCCTTTTAAAACATATCATTGAAAACTGAATCATGCCCCTTCGACTTGTGGTCCTAATTCAAAAGCGACTACTCATGAAATATACCAAGCAACTGGAAAAAGTAGTAATGAGACTCAAAGAAGGTCAACTAGAAATGGTGAGCCTCACAGGCTCAGTAACTGATATCACACTAGCCTTTATACAGGAGAGTCTACAAAGGTTGGAAGAAGGAGCAGCCGCAATCGAAAAAGCTACACAGAAAGTTGAAAGCGCACTAAACGATTTTGCCATTAAACTCCAAGAAATACACCCAGATCTGCCAAACGTCGAAACGGCATTCGAGGAATCCGTGGCCGACTCAGAACAAGCAATAGCTAACGCTTTCGAGTATGTCACAATCCTCCACGCTCGCATAAAGGGCTTTAAGGCGTACATCGAGCGCTCCCAAGATGACACAACAACGAACAAGTGGAACGACGCATCATCAATGCAAACTGCAATCATAAAGAACCTCGAGCTACCCACAATCCTCATTCCAGCCTTCAACGGCGATACATGGGAGTGGGACAACTTTTGGGAGTTCTTTAATACAAATATACATTCACAAAAGGCCTCAGACCTACAAAAATTTAATTTCCTCATTAGCTCATTAAAAGGAGAACCCCTTCAAGCCATAAAGAAATTCCAAATCAGCAAGGAAAACTACCAAAAAGCTATAGATTTTCTGATTAAGAAGTATGGAAACCCTGAAGAACTCATTCTTCAACTTTTCGACAAACTGGACAAAACTGCTCCTCGCTCATACGCTTTGTATGAGCAAAGAACACTACTGGACCATATACAAGCGATAATACTCCAACTAATCGAAAAAGGAGAAAATGTAAACAATCAATGCATGTACAAGAAAGTACTATCGAAATTTCCTATCGAAACGCAACGTAAAGTACTTTCGAAGAAAACGACAACTGAGGAACTCTTCGACATGCAACTACTTCTACAATTCCTAGAAGAGATAATCTCCAATGAGGAATTGATCTCACGCTATACCACAAATGGCCGATCAATTCCAACCACTAAAACCAACTTTGATAGCAAAGCAAAACAATGGAAACCCCAATATTCAATGCTTTCATGCATGTATTGCAAGGGTAACCATAAATCGCTCTACTGCGACAAGTATAGAACACCTCAAGAAAGGTCGCAGTACCTCCAAAAGAATGGGTTATGCTATATTTGTGCATCCTCCTCCCACAACACATTTCAATGCAGCAAGCCATCGTGTTACAGGTGCCAAAAACGGCACCATACATCGTGCTGCTTCTATTCACAAAAAGAAAAACCTCTCACACTATCCCCGAAGAGAGAAGAGATTAAAAAAGATGTAAAAGATAACAAAGAAAAACTGAAAGATAGGAAATCCACAACAAAAATAAATCAAGTCGGACAAGGAGCAGCTACCGAAGAGGAAACATCAACCCTATTAAACAAAACACTACAGTCAACCTTCTTACCTACAGGAGAAATGACTGTAATAGACCCAACAACCAAACGGCTAAAGAAGATCTCCGTATTGTTGGACACTGGAGCAGAATTATCGTTCATAGACGAAAAACTCGCTCAAGAACTTCGTCTGCTTACAATAGGGAAAACAAAATTACGATTACATACATTCGGATCAGACGAGATAAAAGAAAATATATCAAGGAAGGTTCCATTAGAAGTATGGGACGCAGATGGGCACCAGGTCTCACTGTTCCTGTTCACACACGACGGAATAACAAAACCATTCAAACCGGCACCAATCTGCCCAGAAGATGTAAACTTCATTCGAAAGCACAATCTTCAAATTGAAGTCAACAAAAATCAATCTAAAATCAAACCATCTATCCTGTTAGGCTGTGACTAATTGTGGACTCTAATAAAAACCGATAAACCCCACATTAAACTGCCATCCGGATTAATCGAACTACAGCCAGGAACCTTAAATGCAAAGTTGAAGAAGAGTGTACTTGCTATCCAGCAGAAAATCAGGCTAACTGCAACTGTAGAGAGGCAAACATTTCCTCATCCTTCAATGACATGAGATATAAATTACCTCTCATTCTCCCATCACTAACATTCCATCAAACAAGGCAGGGACGCATTCAAGCAACCATTCCAAGCATGATTACGGCTGAAATCATTCTGAATATTCAAGATGATGTAAGGACAGACGTCATTGTCGACAGCACAACATGTCAAATTGATAACGCCCATATACAAGGTTGTTATAAATGTGCAAAGGGAGCAGTTGCGCACATAACGTGTACTTCTTCAAAGCCTGCCCAAGCTGAAATAGTATGTACAACGGCAACATTCACAGTACCATGCGACCAAGACGGTAAAAATTCAAAACTTCGCTTCAGTTTCAGTAACGCTCGTATCCAAGAAAGGTGCACAGTAACATGCGGAACCACAGTCACCAGTTTCGAAATAGGCGGGATCTTAAAATTCACAAACACTGCTAACACAATGTTCAACAAATGGCTATATGGAACAGCCAATACCGAGGAGGAAGTACAATGGCCAGACTTTTGGCACATTGCGGACGTACTACTACAGTGGTATAAAACATTAACAATTGCATTATTCTGCCTGCTATTTCTGATAGGACTCACTTACGGATGCATCTCAATGTTCGGAACAAGGATCGTTTCGTGTATATTCAGATTGATAGCCAAACTAATAATATTCCCTTTCTGGCTACTATTTCATATACTCAACTGCTGCCGCAGGATATTCGCCCACG